AATGCTTTTGTAGATGGAGTTCAGATGTTCACGAAATCCATCCAGGTACCTGCACGTTGCTAGTGGTTTCAGTCCCGCCGATTCCAGTGTCGTTTCTTCGAATTGCTCCATATACATTTCCGCTATCTCGATGGATATATAAATGATCTGATGGCGCAACAAGTCTGTTGACTGTAGTGTTTTCGAATTTCTGGGAATTGGATTGAGTTTCTGCATATTCTTGTGGCTTCTAGAACATGTGCTTCCGTCTAGCCGCTGGGGAAGGTGATGTGGTTCTGTGTCGTTATTCTGTGCTGGATGATTTCTGTCGCATCTCCTTTTCGTATGTTGAGGTGCAAGATTATTGTAGTTCTTGCTCTGGATTCAGCAATGACTGAGCACAGCCTGAATCTGAATCAGGGTAATCTGAACTAGTATCTGAGTAATTAAATAGGAAAAAGTCTGTTTGTATAAACTAATATTTATAAACTTTAATCCTAAGCAAGTGCCTTCGCTAAAAAATTTCTTTCGAAGAACACCTACTACCTCAAAAAGTATTTCGGACACTTTAAGAATATCTTTAGCTATTGACTGGTGGCAGTCAACCAGTTATTGGCTACAAACGCATACTGGGGAATGAAATGATCCGTTCTGTATCTTGAATATTGTTTTGTTGTCCATGCCCATCTTTATCGTTGCGTTGCTGATGTTATTGCTGCTTTAAGAACAAGTTCTCTGTTTCGTTCGTCAAACACTACAGCTATATGGCGTTAGCATTGACCAAGGGAGGTGGCTCACAGAGTGTCTCCAATCGCGTACTGCATATCACAGTCCAGCTGTTCAGTAGCGATGTGGCCGCCTGTCGACTGGTCGAAAAACACAACCTGTTGCGCACGCTAATGTTCTCGCTGATGAGCATGATCAAGATGTGTCTGATAGACAGCAGGCTGAACAGTAATTGATACAATCCTTTTTTTATTGCGGTTGATCGTTGATGGCTCTCGTTGCAGATGAGGAGCGCAACTTTCATCTTGTGGTGGATTGCTCCTCAAACGTCATGGTCAACCACAACTATTGGCCGCTGATCTCTGATCTTCAATGTCTAATCAGTCACGAACGCGTCGCGCTACACTTCCTGCGTGATCCGATCCTTCTCCATCTATGGTGTCACATTATCATGGCTTGTCAAGGTAATTTTTGTACTGTATCGGCGGAAAGCAGAACTGTAACCGCGCAATCGTAAAATTTGGTTTATTTTTATTTTTTGGCTACACTTTGTTCACATTCGCCTGTTTGTCAAGGGGACACTAACTATATACCTCCAGATTTTCTAAGTTATAAGAAAATAGTCCCAACCAAACGACTTATGGTCACTGAATTATCTAGGAGAGCACGGCAAAACCTTTGCATCTTCATTCCGAGTACGAAGTGCCATGCGATTGACCTATAAACAATTTAGGCTAATGATGCTTGATATTTTTTTATCGTTATTTGAGGCTAACAGAGCTTAAATAGCAGAGTGACCCAGATTTATGATGTCTGACCTTTACACAGGTACTTCAAATTGATACTGGACAGAGTTCACTGGTTTGAAAATCTCGTATTCCTTTTTGCATCCGCATCTGTCTCGACGAAGTGTTTCCACCTTTTGTATTGTCTTCCAACGCGTCCGCCCCTAGTGGAGAAAAATTAAATCTTAAAAAATTAATTGTCATTCTGTTTCCGGGACTTTTTATTAAACCAAACAAAGCGTCACTCACTTAAATAATCTAACAGTTTTCTCACACCTCTCAGTCGTAATTACTCCTCGTTCGTGATCCCGTGCAAAATGCATCACATAAGGAAATTTCAAATTGCGTAGAGCTTAGTCCGTTTAAATGGCTTCTAGGCGAATATGAGCAGGGAGACG